TATATAATATCTTTCAATATCTTAAAATTTCAATCTAAGTAATAAACATATTCATAACATTTCCAGAAACATTTACTGCGATTATTCTATAAATTTATTAGGTAATTATTTTGACAGTAACATAAACGGCCGTTAAAGTGACATATTATACTTTAAAGCCAGTATGCAACCTCCGATACAAATAAAACATTCATTACCTTTTCATTTAAACACAAAATGATGTTTTACAGCACTTTTATTTAGCACTTGAAATGTTAATACAATAATATTTTATATAAAGTCCTATACTGTCTGACAACGAAAAACGCCATTTATAAGCCATTATAACGTCAGCAGAATACAGTTCCATTAAGGTCTAACTCCAACAATAATAAATTTGACGACTAGTTTTTTTCCTCTGAACACAGAATTTTCGCTATCCGAATAGTTTTCTCTAATTACATGTCAAACGAACGAGCTAAAGTCCATCGAGTGAGACGATTCAACGTATCGATCCGGTGGGTAACAAATCGTTTGTGCGATTAGACCGTCAGTGGAAAGGAATCCACAGGCGAAATCGAATCACCGCCACTCGCATGAGGTACGGTGTTGAGTGGTAATAAACGACTTGTGCCCCTACCAATGGAACGTTTAACTGTTTAAAAAATATAAATAGCACCTTATTTATGTTATGACACTTATGAAGAGATAGACATTGAGATATAAAAACAGTGTAATTTTAACAAGGAAAAAAGATACCTTATGAACGAGTAACAAACCCTAAAGTGTCATTAGTTTTTCTGTCATAACCAAAAAACTAATGACATTTTAGGTACATTACTTAAGACTATAATGACACTTTAAGTCTTTACTTGGACTTTTTTATATCATTCAGCCGTATTTTGACTTTCATTTTTGCATAGATATTATTTTACATAAATCATAAATTAAACACAAGTAGAATAATATAGGTATTTATTTGTATTTGTACACATATCACACCACGTACACAGTTTACAAAACACAAAATAAAAGATATAAAAAATAGTTTTCAAAACTAATACGAACAGAATGTGCCATGTGTGTTGCTAAGCTGGCTTCAGTTACTAAAGTAGTGTTTATTCTGATAAGCAGTTCGCAAGTTCCAAACTTTCTATAACCATTTTTTATACAATGTTTAAGTATACATTATTTTTGAAAGTATTTATAGGACTGGTTGAGGCGCGAGAAGTGATTGGAAACTCATCCTAACCATATACGCACACAAGTAATATTTACCGCTTGTCACCATTAACCTACTAATAACCTGTCGCCCTCTATAAAGATGATGACTAATTTTTTGCTGTTTGACCTTCAGGTAGACTGTTGAAGAATACTAAATACGTTACTTTTTGTTTTAGGCATAATAAAAAATTACGGCATTACGTTAAGTTGAAAAGCCGCATGACGTCACGCCTTTGTACATTTTCTAAATAGTTGTGATGTAGCCCCCACTCCTCAACTTTACGATTATTTACTCTAATGATTATTATCTAAGCCATTGTTAAATTGAACCAAAAAAATCCGTATTACTAATTTCTTTTTTACCTACACATCGTCCCTGTGACCATTTTTGCCTCTCTGAAAATTGCCCGGAATATCTCACTATCCCTTAAATCGGGTCGTCCTTATTCTGTAACTCTGAAGGCAACCGAAATAAATTGTTCACAGATCTACTAATAGATGATTTTGACACTTTAGAATAGTTCGCTATTTACGGTAATTGCTATTTTAAGCCGTTAGTTGAGTTAGCTAATGGCTCTGCTGGTGAAAACCATAGTAAGGAGCGTACTGTAATGCGTGTCGGAGCGTGAACTTCGCCTGAGCGGCAAACACTGATTGTTTCGTGATGTCGCGCGACAGACAGTAGTACAAGCGATAGGCAACATGTAAACATCTATATCTTCTAGATATAAACTGCTCTATATTTCCCCCACAAAGAATACTAACACACTGCGTTAGATAAAATGTAATTATTTTTATGCTCATGCTTTTAACCGGATTCAAATGTAATGAACTAAAGAACAGTCAGATTGAGATTGTATACTTTTCTAAATTGTCGGATATTATTATACATAACAGGCGCATTAGTTAGTACGTCCGATTTGAGATGGGGAAGTTAAACAATTTTCATAAAAGCCGGTCACAGGATGGGTAACCAAACTCCTACTTGCTTTCGAAAGGCTGCATTTGTAGTAGTCAAAACCCACTAAACCTCACTGGACCCACGTGATTCGCTTGTAAAACATAAAAACTTAAGTTATTGACAATAATAAGTTGAGTTTTTCTAGTTTTCTCAAATCAAAAAACGGCTGTTAGTCTGTTAATTGATTTAAGCATTTTTACTACTTTGTTTAATGATTGTTTGGTGGAATTTGTATGAAAGCCATCTAATAAAAAACTGTTCCACGGGGTATAATTCGATTCAATTCTTTTTTTATCTGATACCTAATTAAATGAAATAAAAATCAACAAGAAATACAAAGAAAACAAGAACGGACATATGACATCTAATTAGATGCAGATCTTGTTATTTTAACCTAGTTGTTATATTATTGTTGTGATATATTATCATAGTTCAGATGAAGGTTAAAATTACATTATTAGTGATAATAAGAATTTCGTAAACAACGATGTCGGTTTGTTTACCAAATTCTGAATCGATGTATCTGAACAATTTGGCATCCACACTATACTGAAATACTGAAAAATATTATTAATGAAAAAACATTTTAAAAATCTACATTGTCCCTGGCACTCTGAATTCGAACTCGAACCCGTGACCTTTCGCAATCCGGGCGATCACTGAACTACCCAGGACCTAACATGACAGATGAATTTATCAAGCACTTGTCACTTTTTCGATACTGCAGAACGTATTTTCATCGATGTTCAGGCATGTATCTCGATATCAAAGTATCTTTAATAATAAATAAATGTAATCAAATATGATATAGGAAGTATTTCCTAAATTATACACTAAACAAAATATTTTTTTTAAATAAGACAGGCGAACAAGTGGATCGTTTTAACGGACTCGTTGAAGATTTAATTTATTTACCAAATATTAGTAGATTCAAATAATAAATCCACTCTGACGCCTAATAGTTAACTTTTAGAATATAAAAATAGACAAATATGCATGGTTACTAACATGGTACACACATACAGTCAAAATCATAACCCTCCTTTGTGTTGTGGCGTAGTCGGGTAGTAAATTATTTGATAAACTAATATATAAATACTTCTAGTTTCAAATAATTTACATATTGTTCTATTTCAATCATGATTACTTTAGATCTTTGAAATAAAAACTCAAAATGTTCTTCATTCAAAGTGTTAGTAACACGTCTAAAAGCCAATCTTTCCTAACTGATTCTAAACTTTAATGCGTTGATGATCGAGTTCAAAATTCATTTCAGAAATGCTTTCTATTAATCAGATGTGCTGTTGTTATCTAACATTTTGAATTGGCCCTCCTTAAATAAAAGCCGTCAGAGAATAAATACTTATTTATTAAAATAGTTCATATTCCGTATTACCGATTTCATAACTAACCTAAAACGTCTAATGACGGATGTTATGTAATAGAATTTAACATAATAAAGCACTTATATTAGGAGCAAGGGTTAAAAAACACTAGAAAGCTTACTCAGATTTTACAAATGTAAAAGTTAATATTTACCAAGTTTCAAAAAATGCGTGTTGCTCGAGTAGACGACACAGCCGAAAGAAATATAATTTACGTCGAAACTTTGACTGTATCTTTGGGGGTGTTATGAATAAAACCATTTCTCCATAATTATAGACGGTAAGAATATACATTGCATTAAAAATACTTAAAATAAAACAACAATAACTCGTACGAATTAAAATAACACCTGGCCTATTCTATTTGTCTTCGAACGAAAATTCGGAAAATTCGAATTGTTCTTATAAATATAATTTTGTTAAATTCATATCGTTGAAGATTATTTTTACATCAGAGACAATGTCCGGTCCTACCTTAATTGTATTATAAATTACCGAAAAATGCGATTCTTGGGAGTCGTATTAGCATTTCGAGAATAGACGAAATTTCGTTTTCGTAGAATTAAAATAGATCAATTGATCAATTTCGCGTTCCCAATATTATACTAGATAATATTCTTAATGAAAAATACTTGGTAAATCCACTTTGTCCATGTCATTCTGAGATGGGATTCGAGCCCATGGCATTTCATGAGCAGTCGCCCGGATTGCAAAAGGTTATATGGTGGTATGGGTTCGAATCCCATCTCAGAGCACCAGGCAAACCTTTTTTTTAAACCTTTTTTTTTCATTAAGAATATCTTACCATTGTCATGTAAAATCGTACGAGTAATGTGTACTAGATTGGAAAACAGTTACTAATGGATGTAAAGTAAATATTGCCGGATCGGATGTGCCGCAAATCGAATTACTTACAGATTATTTTAAATAAATTATCATCACTTCGCTGCTCACTTCTCAATTGCCTCTTTTAATGGAGGTAATATTTGTCAAATTTAATGAAAACTTAGGCTGTACTGTTGTCTATAAAACTAGTTCTGGTAAACAATGTTTTATGTTGAGGATAAATAACACCAACCATAAGGACATAAGTGCCTGTGTTTAAAGAAAAGAGTTCGTATGTATTCTCAAAATTTTAATATATTCTTATAAAAGGTTTTGATAGAATTAAATTAGAATACTAAAATTATACAACATTTCGGTACCTTGGGACTCAAAGTAGGTACTTAAAATACATAACTTTAATTTTTATCAAAACGAGGTTTTCTCTTTAAAAAAAAGAGTAGTTCCATACTTTGGTTTTTAAATGTTTGTCTAAGCCAGGGAATGTTTAAGCGGTAAGAGGTGATACGAAGTATACCGAGTAACTAGTGTATTATATTTTTTTTAAAGAAATAACCTGACTCCAGAAATACAGGGATGCCTAGATGGAAATTAGGATTTAACACTAATTTCAGTACAAAATTATTAAACATATAATATGTTGTTGTGTATACCAGCGAGAAAGAACCTCTCTTTCTTTCTCGCTGGTATAAAATTGTTATAATAATTATTAGATGTCCACGATTTTCTGATAAAATGAAACTTAATTTTTCTTAGGGCAGTCTTCGAGGGCCACGCATTTGTCCGAGACTGTGTCCCTGACGGTAGGCGGGTCGCAGTAGCAGGCAGAGTAATCACAAATAATGGCTTCTTCCTTCACAGGGTTTGGTTCTTCGCAAGTCGCTTCAGGGGTCTTCTGTGCGCAACCAACTGCGTAGGCGTGGGTGCCTTCTTCGCATTCTCTGGCACCTGTAATAATTAAAATATTAAGGTTTCCATTAATCGGGCAAGATTTTCCTTTATAGATAACAACCACTGTGACCGAGTGATTCTTGCGCTGGTTTCAAGGGTTCCAGGTTCGATTGCTCATTGGATGAAAGTAGACAATGAAAATGTTTCATACATTTCCATTTAAACATCTCATCATAACTAATATTTTAGTATTTTCTCCCTGTTCGATTAGATTCCATCCAAAGGAAAGGCCTGAGCTCCAGTAGTGGTGAATCATCGCCAGAACAAATATTTTAAAAATGTATATATTAATTCATAAATACTTTCATTTCTCACATTATCATAATCTTAAATTATATAATTACAAAGATATGCGTAATTAACTTTAATTAAGGATGAGGATTTTATAATACTGATTATTTGAGTACTTATTGCTAATAAAATTTACTTATCGAAACAAGTAATTAATAAATAATTTTATTGCCAAAAATAAATTTCTTCTTGCATATATGAAGAAATGGGATAAATAATCTAAAATGCGCAAAAAGAGAAAACGAGACGCCGTTAATGGTAGAAAAAGACAGATTATGGTATATTTGAAAATAAAGAGTCAAAAACTATTTATAATTACTCGCAATCTATTGCCACAATATATGTATTGTGCTATTATAATTATTATCAAATATTATCATCATCAGCCCTTTTTTCGTCCCTCAGGTCTTCCTTATAGATGTATGGATAAGGGGGATGCGCCAATGACCCTCCACGCTGGCCCAATGCGGATTGGAATATTAGGGACTGCAAATGCAACTGGGACAACGGCTTAACGTGCCTTCCAAAGTACGGAGTAGCTGGAGACATTTTTTTTTGGTCACTCATCCCGTAACCGCCCTTTGCGAAAGTTGCTTAACAACAACGATCGCGGGCCGCGGCGCCTATCCTCTACGTCACCGTGCTACTAAAATATATTAATGTAAAACTGTTCTGTTTTTTTTTTTTAATGGTTAGTATTAACATGACATAGACAAACTTAAGAAAAGTTCTTGGATACCCAGGCTATACCCATAATGAAATCGAATCGCAGAACGAATGTGTTAACCGGCACGCCAATAAGTCGAAGAGCTCGTCTTTTTCTGTATACCGTGCCAACCTTATTAAAAAAAAACTTGCTAATAATTTATATAAATACAGTTGTTTTATCTCTGTGTAATCTCAAACTCAAGGATCCTGATAACGATACGATTGTTAAGCAACTTCCGCAAAAGCCGTTCATAGGATGATTGACCATGAAAATTATCATCTCGAACTCTTCTGTGCTTTGGAAAGCACTTAAAGGCATTGGTGATGGGTCATGTCATCCATTCTCTCTCGATTCTATTCTAATCATAAGAAGGGCCTGTACCCACCAATAGGAATAATAATATGCCGATGGTGAACCTCAAACTGACCCGATACCAGTAACTGGCTAATGTGTCCTCTTAATTGTGCAAATAAACAAGGAAGTGATAACCTTCAGCGGGTATCACTTGATCTTTAACTCTCAACACGTACAGGTAAAACTAAGGAAGTTTAATGTCTGCCACAGTTAAATATACCTACGTATATGTAAACAATGTAAACGAGTTTTCAACAAATTGTTCAAGTGCGAGTCGGTTTAGGGTTCCATACCATTCCATCTATAAAAACGCAAAAAATCACATATATTGTAACGGAGTCTCCGTTAAATATTTGTTTGTATTAACTTTGTCTACTATAATTTCAACAGTCTAGCTATCATCTATCTAAATATATATAACTCAAAGGTGTCTGACTGACATAGTGATCTATCAACGCACAGTCCAAACCACTGGACGAATTGAGCTGAAATTTGGCATGCAGATAGATGTTATGACGTAGGCATCCGCTAAGAAAGGATTTTGATCAATTCTACCCCCAAGGGGACAAAATAGGAGATGAAAATTTGATGAAACTGTCAATTTTAAATCGATCGGGCTGAGACTTTGCATGCATAAAGCCTATTATGACTTAGGCATCCCCTTAGGATTTTGATAAATTCCTCCCCTAAAGGGAAATAATAGGGGATAAAACTCAAAGTAACTTTACCACGCGGACAAAGTCGCGGGCAAAAGCTAGTAATATTTAAGATACATACTTTTGACAGATAAACGGATACATACACAGACAAATAGTTACACGTCCGTGTATCCATTTGGTGGAGAACAGCGGAGTCTCAGTATTAGGATCTCATTTTTACCCTTTGGATAGGTAACCTAAAATTATTTTAATTAGAACCCTTTCATTTATAATCTTCTCTCTATCTTAATTGCAAAGTTAACTGCCTGACTGATCTATCAACGCACAAATTAAACTACTGGATGAATTGAGCTGAAAGACACTTAAATAATTATGATAACATAGAGGTTCTTTAAAAAAGAATTTGAAAAATTCTATCCCTAAGAAGGTTAAATAGGATTTTATCAAACTACTGTAGTCACATCTGCAAAGCTAGTTTTTATACTATTATATAATAAAGAAATCTGTCTGTCTCGTTTGCTGGTTTCAAGCAAGTGGAGGATTTGAATAATAAATATGTTGTTGCTGTATAATATTAAAAATATTAGACTCTACATAAACAGCTTTTTCAACCAGTTGGCTGCGACATCAACAATAATAATAAACCGTTAAACATGTTAATAAATAACGAGATATATTTTTTTGCTTAAATACGTTTTCACTATTCCTTTCATTATTACCGTAACATCTATCTTATTTAGGACGTCATAAGAATGTCTTTAATCTTGGACACTATAGATCTCTACACATTTTCTAAGAAAAAGTACTTACATCTTCCTACAATGTATATGCAGCCACGAGAGTGAGTTTTCGTATCAGCCAAAGCCAACCCGACCAACGCCAGAACGCAAACAGAGATTACGAGCTTCATATCGGTAACACCTCCGCAATTTACCAGCGTAACACGAGTTGTCCTAGTCAAGTTGTTCAAATCACTGAAGTCATCTTTCTTTATAGGTCGCTTAAGTAAAGACGATAAACAAATGTTTAATGTATATAACGAGTTTTGGGTTCGGTATATCAAGTGATTTTTCCTGTTAAACTAGTGTCGGCATATGCGCCCATTGTGCATATTCCGAAATATCACTTTCGGGTAATATTAAGTTCCACTTTGCTGTGATGGGTCATAAGCGAGGAAATTAAAACAAAATTAATAGACAAAAGACAAGTCAATTAGTGTAACAGAGACAGATGATGACGTGTTGTTCGAAATCTAAAGCTGTTTTAAAATATTTTGAGTAACTAGTCACAAATCAACACCTGTTTTATAAAATTTCTCAACTGCAGATTGTTAATACATTGACTAACATTTTATCAGTTTTCACTTTAAAAAGGTCACAAAATAAATCGAAATATAGTAAAAAGCTACTTCCTTTTTTTGTCATCGAGGAATACTTGGGGTCCAATTAGAGATAACTATGATGTAATTTTTTTTATCAAAAACAATTTATAACAAATTAATTTATTTATTAATTATTTCGTTCACAATAAATTTGAAATTGCAAACATTATTTCAAAGAACAAATAATATTAAATGCACACTCAAATTATTAATTCAACAACAAATGCATGAATTTGATGATATCCAACTAGGACTAGTCTTCGAGCCTTCGAGCCCTTCAGGACTAGCCTTCGATCCTTCTGGATGGAGAGTCCCACACACCTTCTGCCGCCTGTTAAGCGGCGGAGAAAGTGCACGAAGCATTACCCTACAATAAAAAAGATAAGGTTAGTAATTATATTCTGTTTGGGTTGATTACCTGAACATTGATGAAAAGTAGTAGCGAAGTACTTGTTCATTGCTTGAAAAATTCGTCAGGTCCTGGGTAGCTCAGTGGTTAATGCAGTCGCCCGGTTTGCGAAAGATCATGAGTTCCAGGGACAAAGTGGATTTTTAAGCATTTTTCAATAAGAATAATCATATTATTTTCAATACAACTTCTTTGAAATTAGCAGGTTTGATTAGATCCAATCTTAACCGAAAAATAAGATCACATCGAATCATGACAAAGTCGAATAGGTATACTATCCGATACCGCAAAAGAGCGTAGTGCTGTCATAGATAAGAGTTTCAAATAAATGAAACCTACTTCAAACGGTATTATACTACCTTGCTTGCTCTATGACGTGACAATGCTGCGATCTACGATACGTTTTGGAGGCTGTTTTTTAAACAATAACTATAATTGTTTTCATGGTGTTTTAAATGTTGTATCCAAATGGTTATAAGCATTTCATTGCACGACTATTTGTCTGAATTTCTATTAGACGTTTCAACATTTAGGAATGGAGTTTTTGGAAATTTGCCCATGAATTGAGTCAAAAAGTATCTAATTTCTTAACAAATCGTCGAGCGTTAGGAAAAGATTTTTTGAAAATTCGCCTCTAAATTGTGTCAAAAGGCGGTTAAGTTTGTTTAATTTGAATTTAAATCGATAAGAATTGGTATTACTCGGTTAAAAACGAAGAATGACATACATATTTTTCATGAATTCTGAATTAAACCTTTATAGTCGCAAAAAATAACGAAAAATGTTACTTGTATTGTCCGGTGTAATTCACACGAACGAAGGCACGGACAGCAACCTAGTCAAATTACAAAGTAATAATCTTATAGTAGTGATCATATTACTTCACATGAGAAATTATAGTTAGGTATTATTACAGTTAATTTGAACATCAGAGTGATTATACACGTACATGCATCCTACCACTCAGATAATATAATAATTTTGTCTTTAATGCAATATTTTCTTGAAATATATTTCAAAAGGTTTTAGTCCCTTACTCTTAAGACACTGCGATGGTAAGGTGTTCGTAGGTTTGAAATAGAGATGCGGGAATAAGCCTGAATGTTAAATTTCTCTGAGTAATAAGAAGCGGTTAAAGCTGTAACTTATCTCTAAATCAATCAATAAGTACTTATATTATATACCTAGTGAATTTACTGTTACAAGTTGCTAGAGTTCATATTTTTCTCATGCTTCATAATATCAACTTGTTTCCGGGGCAATGCGATAGCCTAACTCTCTAGCCATAAGATACGACATCTTACCGATGTTATAGCGATATTTCATTTTATTATTTTAACTATTGTAACGGCAAACGATTGATAAAGAATGATCGTAAAAGATTTGAAAGCAGCGTTACTAACTTGATCGTTTATCTACCAAAAAGCGTAAAAAATATCCTTTAGATGTCGTGTCCTATGAGAAAGTCATGGCTAGAGACTTAGGCGGTCGCACCCCAGCCGTCCCGCACGTTAAGCGTATATCTGAAAACACCATGTAAATCTTTCGCCACAATTGACATAAAAACACCATCTGCCAGAACCAGTGTCTGATGATTTGCCATTACGGAACTAGTTTCACAAATGACGAAATTAGATATAGTTTCCTAATATAAATTAGGCTTTTGTCGCCTTTTCACTTTGTTTACAAACAAATAAAAAATCTAAAAACGTTTTATTTATTCGTAACCATTTAATTAACATATTATTTTATGGTCACATGAGCAATCGTAGACCGTGAACCAGTATTGTTTACAAAGCTGAATAATTTGACAAATCCTATTACTTTGTCAACTAAATGCGGGCATTGTGACATTAACGAGTTATGTTTGCATAATTAGCAAATTATATGGGGAAAAAATTCTTTTATAATAATTAGCGATTGATTTATTACAGTCGGAATACAGCAAAATGCATATTTTTCTTCGTCATTAAATCAGAAATGAGAGGATTCGTTGGAGAATTATGATGACTAATGCCTGTTTTCACTAAACTTAGGAATTGCCTAAAGTGAAAATGTATTTCACTAATGACTAGGATCCACTTTACGACATTAACATCTACAGTTATGACATGCGTTATGTGACGCTAGGCATTTGCATAATATGACAGATCACAAATGTGTCAAGGGATAAAAGAAAATATATTTATTTGTAATTAACTATTCTAATTAGGCGATTCGTAAGGTTAGGCATTTCCTGGTTAAGATATGTCTTGTTCTAGTTTAGTAAAAACGGGTGTAACAATGCTAGGAGGATTGTTAAACAGAAGTGACTTATCTTGAGATGCACTGGAAGGGAATATCCAAAATGCACATACAAACATGCCCAATACTAGCAGTTCCGCGATTCTCCCGCATAAATTATAGCCTTTGTCAGCCGCGTATGATGTAGCTTTAAAAGAAAAAATTGTTCAATAGTTTCGGAGCATAGGCAATACAAACGAACAACCAAATCTTTCCTCTTAAAATTAAAAGCATAGATAAAAACTAAAACATCTACACTTTTACAAATAATAGCATTCAGAAAAAGTTATCTAATCAAATACATAAAGATGTTTCGGGAAGCCGCTGGATGCGGGCAGCGTTGAACACTTTGTATGGAGATCTATACTCATCAATGGAAGTCATACAAAGATCTACACATCAAATGATTCACGTGTTCACAATGAATAAGCCAGAATAAAACGTATTCGTATTTAATCAGTTTCCTTCCTTATAAAATAGGAAATCAATTTATTGATGTTTATTCAAAGTTGCTAGGAAATAAGCTCGTACATTGAATTCGAATGCCTCTCAATAACCAGGAAACGATTATAAATAAACGTTATATTACACCTACCTTAGATCTGTATCCATCAAATCGGGTGTTATAGTCCTCTTGAAGATTTCCAGAAATGTTGCCACCCATCCCGAATTTTCCCGATTTCAATGTATAAATCGCTACTCAGAAAAAGAGTTTTTAAGATACCATGTCATGTAATCAAAACTATCATTGCGCAGCGTTTCAGACCTTTTATTTTCCCACACATTTACAATAAGCTTGCTAACGCCCTTCAAATTAAAAATAAATCGGTCAGGGAAATAAAAGTACTGTTGCCCAGGAAGCTTCTGGAACTTGACTATCAGGATACTGAAAATCTTGAGGATCCAAAACTAGCAATAACGATCTCACTTATAAAAGCAAAATAAAAAAATGATTATAATGTAATGTTTAAGTATATAATGTAATGAAGTAAGAAATGTCATGTATTTGTTGTTGTGCCGTATGTAGTGTAATTTCAGAAACTGTAGCTGGTACAAAGCCCACCATAATAAACCTACCTGGTCGAAACGTCGGGAAATATAGGTAGGTGAAAAAACTAACTATACACATAAGGTACTTTTTACTTTTTAAGTTTTCCGCAGACATTATTGGACTGAAGTCGCATTACCGTCCAAATGTCTCGAATATTGTTTTATAGTTGAATCTATTGAATTTGGAAAGCAATTACTAGTTTTCTTAACTTTCCTTTTTTACCAAAGGGAATGAAATTCTCGCTAGAGATTTTATGTTCTAACTATACCTATAATAAACTTATTTGTTCATTTGTTTATTATATTTGTGAGAGGGAAATCAAAATCTATTCGAGTCATGTAGTAAAACTTACTCAGCGGGAAGTATCTGCAGATAGTAATTTATTTTTTTATCACATAAGTAGTAGAAGTTAGCATCATTCTTATCCCTCAGGCGTTGGCGTTTGGCGTTGGAAATTAATTAATTATCAAAGTGGGAAGTAATTAATAATAATAATAATAAATATTCTTTATTGCACAATAGAAAAGACACAATATACAAAAATCTTACGCAAACATAATAACAACATCGTACAATAGGCGGCCTTATCGCTTGATAGCGATTTCTGCCAGGCAACCTAACAAAGTATAGAAATTTAACTAATAACAAATATAAGCAGATAGTGCAAATTTAGAATAAAGTAATTACGTGGACAAATAGAACAAAAGTTATAAGTACATACAAGTGACAAAACAAATAGATATATAAAGCGTGAAAGCAATTTGGACACTTCTACAATCATCGTCATCATCATCATCAGCCTTTTTACATCCCCACTGCAGGGGCTCAGGCCTTCTTTATGGATGGTTAAGGAGGACGAGGATTTACCGTCATGCAGGCATTTATGG